GTGTGTGTGTATGTGTCTATCTCTGTATATATGTGTGTGTTTGAGTGTGTGTGCGGATATCTGCAGGCCAGCGCATCTTCTTTAAGTGCGGCCGTCGACGTCTCAACGTTGCGCCGCATAAATATGCGAGTTGGAGTTGGAGCTGAGGATGAAGCTGAGGCCGAAGCTGAAGCTGAATCTTCGAATGGATTGGCTGGTTGGCTGGCTGGCTGGTTGGTCGGCTGTGCAAAATAGCAAAAGTACCGTAACAAATTTGCAAAGTGAAAGAATTTGACGAAAGAGAGATGTTCGTTCGAATTCGTGGAATGGGAATGGGAATAGGAATGGAAATGGGCATGGGTATGGGGTATGGAGTATGGTTATGGGGCTAGTGTTTTCGGTAGAGAACTTACACAGAGAGTAGTAGGAGACACAGAAACAGAACGAATGGTGTCCCCACATACGAGTACAGCTGCATAAATATTTATGAATGGTAATGGTGAGGTGGAAATGGAAATGCCAATGGCAACGGCAATGGCAACAGCTACGGAAGAAGGATTTGTTAGTGTCAGCAACGTGTGATGGAGGGAGGGATGCAGGGAGAGGGTGTGGAGTGCCACGATGACACCTCATGTGTGCAGAAAGTCTCCCCGAGAGCTTCCAGAAAGACATATGTTTGTGTCTGTTCTAGGAGGACATGCATATTTCAAAAGCTACTATTGAATGAATAGATAGGCGAATGAAAAACTGACACACACTAGGAGCCTAGGAAGGAGAGCAAAGCTACTTGACAGCTTCACCTAAAAACTATTTGACAAGAAGAAACAAGAAGAGCAAAGAAAACCTTCGTGGACAGAAATTGATTCCAAAGTGTGCAAATACAACAACAAGCCAAGGAGTTTCCGAAAAATGTTTTATTTTCTTCTCACAACTATAGTATAAAAGGCCCTTAAATGCTAACAAATCTATTGAATTATTGGAATGCCTAGCACCCAATAGGTAACCTAATGAGGAGGCCTGAAAAACTTCCCCAAATACAGTGAAATCTCCTACGGTTCTAGTTTACATGCCACATTCAAAAGATGTGAAAGAAATATGTACATTAACATATGTATGAATGAATACATTAATGTATATATTTTCTGCATTTTAATGGGATAACCTCTCGTCCTTCTTCGCTATTCTGAAAATCTTGTAACGTACTTGTATGCGAGCTAGAATTGCCAAACTTGGTAAACTTATGTACGAATATTTCCAGAAAGTCCAGAAAGGGAATATTTTAGTTTTTTTTTTCTTTTTTTTTTTCTTAGATGCACACCCGCTCTGCTACTATAAGTGTTTTCCTCAAATCCCATAACTAATGAAATCTAATTAATTTTTTTTTTATTATTCTTTCTTTATCAATACGGATCGTTAGATATATTCTGCTAATTATGTTTTCAAAGTCAAGTAATACTTCTCTCATTCCTTATTAGAGAATAGAAAAACACATCAAACTACTGCCGCATTGTGTTCTTCAAGGCAATTAAAGGAGAGTACCCTGTAACTGAAGGGAAAAATGGATATATTCGATTATTGAAATACACCTTTCAATAATAAAAAATAAAGAATATTTTTCTTAACGGGCATAAAGATACAAATTAGGTTGATTTGTGACCGTCTGTCCATCCGTCCACATTGACCAAACTTGGTATTGAGGCACTCCTAATCCTCAAGCATTTTTTTTCCTCCTTGATTTTAATCTATATTTAATTTAATATTTTCCTTTTGTAATCTCTATCCTGGCGTTACAAGTATTAGGTGACTTTTAAATTAGTAAGCAAGTCAGTCTAAATATATATTGTTATTAAATAAATCGACAGATACACTTGTTGATTTAAATAAATAAATAAATAAAAATAAATAAATAAATAAATATTTATTTAGATCGATATCAATACATCTTAACTATACATATTATTTTATCTTATCTAATCTTATTCTTTATTTCTTATCTATATATCTGATATTTCAAAAGTTACATTTTAAATATTATAATGTTATTGCTTTTACATATGTGTTGTATTTTCATTTAGTTGTTCTCTTGAAAGTATGCTTGAATACTAATTCTAAAGGGTCAAGGGTCCAATATCCAGTATTTCGATAACTGTATTAGGTATTAGGTGACTTTTAAATTAGTAAGCAAGTCAGTCTAAATATATATTGTTATTATATAAATCGACAGATCCACTTGTTGATTTAAATAAATAAATAAATAAAAATAAATAAATAAATAAATATTTATTTAGATCGATATCAATACATCTTAACTATACATATTATTTTATCTTATCTAATCTTATTCTTTATTTCTTATCTATATATCTGATATTTCAAAAGTTACATTTTAAATATTATAATGTTATTGCTTTTACATATGTGTTGTATTTTCATTTAGTTGTTCTCTTGAAAGTATGCTTGAATACTAATTCTAAAGGGTCAAGGGTCCAATATCCAGTATTTCGATAACTGTAGAATTCCATATTGTTGCATTTTTTTTCGTAAGAGGACTATGTGTATAATAACAATATTTTGAAAATGAACGCAGCTTCATTATTTTTTTTTAATATTAATCGAAGCTTTTTGGTCATATTTTGAGAGATTTGTTTCTCGTATCATTGTTTTTGTTGATAACTTATTTAATTATAAAATAAAATAAAATTTTTTAGGTTCAATATGATTTAAACCCTATATTTCTACTTACGGTTTAATTTTTTATCCATTAATTCTCGTATCATTGTTTTTGTTGATAACTTATTTAATTATAAAATAAAATAAAATTTTTTAGGTTCAATATGATTTAAACCCTATATTTCTACTTACGGTTTAATTTTTTATCCATTAAATTACGGTCAGGTAATTGTGAAAAGTTTTGAAGTTTGTTTGTTTGAAGGTTGATCAGAATGTTTAATTCATTATACAAAACAATAGTTTAAAGATTTAGAATATTTCGGGTTACAACATATTTATCAAAATTAGTAAAATATACACAAGTTTTATTCATTATACAAAATAATACTTTAAAGATTTATTTATTTATTTATTTTTTTTTTGAGTTTTTGTTTTAACTTATTAAATATTTCTTATACTACAAAACTACTCTGTGAATGAGAGTCCAATTCTTAGGGTAATTAAATGAAAAGCATTCCTTCACTTAATTATTTAAGCAATGTTAAAAATATGAAAACAAAAATATATAAATGGAGATGGTGCAGAACACTTATACTTATAAATAATACTTATAAATAAATAATTTTAATTGGAATTGAAGTATAGCGCGCGCTTAATTGTTTAAAATGTAAGCAGTTTGAAGTGTTAAATATTTTCTATATTCCATAATTGAGACTTGTTCAACATTGTTCAAATTCTGTTCACACCTGCTTCTAAATAGTGTAATAACTGGCGATGTAGGCCGCCATTGCTCTATAATTTGAGTAGAACAAGCCGTTAAATCTGGTTTCTGGCTCTTGAGAATTTATTAGCCATCATTGAGTTGTACGCGGGCCTAATTAATGTCCAGATACATTATTTATTTATCTCGTATAGTTCGATTTCACACGCTCATCAGCTCTCGTCCACAATCGCGGCGTGTACTTAAAATTGTGAATCGCCGTGACTCCCCATCCCCATTCCGGCTGTTGAGTAATAAAAGCGGTAGGAGCGCGAACATTGTAAAGATGAAAAATTAGTATCTATGGCCACTACCTGTGAACTCTCGCGATAAAACAATAAATTTCTAAAATACAAGTTCTAAATTGCATGCCACGGCCTGGCTGCCTGCCTGCCTGCCTGCCTGTGCGCCATGCATGCTTATTTAGCCCCATTTGAGCGGGGCAGCATAATTGAGTAATTAAGTTGAGCGCGCTCGAACGAAACCCGTTCTGCGTTCGTTCGTTTTCCAATGCCAACGCATTCCATTTGGAGCGCAATCAGGTTTCGAGTGCAATGGAACGAATGGAAAGCGCTCGGGCCGTTGCATGAGTGAAATGGAATTGTATGGCAATGGAACGGCAACAAACACTGCAGCATTAATGAGTGGAATGATTGGCAGCGAAACAAACAAACTTGCTGCCGGCGTCGCTGCCGCTGCCAACGCCAACGGCAGCAGCACAAGCAGCCGCTATGGCTGCCAGCCGCTTGGCCGGTCTTCACAAACTTTGGCCGCTTCAGTTCAAATTGTGCGCTTTCTGACGCCCGTTCGACGTTCGCCGATTCGTTCGCGTCGCTGTCGCTAAAGATTCCGTTTCTGATTTTCTCAGCCGATTCTGTTGTACGCCGACGATAAATCTGCGATTTCCGATTTGCAAATGCAACAGCATATCTACACACCCATATACATATGACATACATATGTATGTATGTACATATATATGTTTCAATTATTGGCGCGCCCCTCAAAAAAGAAAAAATTCATTTTCAAATTTACGAAAATAAATTGAAATTTATGCCGCATGCATAATTAACAAGTTAATTGGCGCGCAAAAATTTTTGATCTTCTCAACGTCGTTGTTGTTGCTGCTGCTGATGCTGCTGATGCTGCTATCGTTATTGTTCTTTTAGTGCTAAAAAGTGCCTCGTAATCGCTTGCATTTATGCAGATAGATTAAAAATAAATATTTATTTAAGCGCATAATAAATTTATTGCAATTTTTCAACGTGCCAAAGAAGTGCAAACGGTTGCAGAAATTATTTGTTAACAACAACTACAACAAAAATCACATCGATTGAAAAGTGTAATTTGCATTTACAACAACAAAAATATTTTACAATACACGTGAACAAATTCTACTAAATAGATACATAGGTGGGTGGAGAAGAGGGGAGAGAGAAAAAGAGAGAAGGAGCAAGTTAGTGAGTGCATTAAATATTTATAACAAAGTGCAATGCATAAAAATTGAAATTAATATTGCAACAATAGTTGAATAAAGAGTTTTGTGCTAACAACAACACTGCCGACGAGACGCCTGCGCAGCCAATCCAGTATTTTTTAATTGGATATTTGCAGCGAGCAAACAGGAAACGGAAGCGGCTGCCATTTGCAACACACCAGAGAGAACAAGCCGGCGCAGAAAAAAACCAACTAACTAACACACACACACAGCAAAGGTAAATAGAAATATAAAGTATGCATGCAGACACACACACACACACACATCCATGCATGCATGCATGCAAGTACAAACAGTTTCCAACACTCAAAAGAGCTAGTATGTCAGTGTGTGTGTGTGTGTGTGTGTGTGTGGGACGTGATTTGTGCCAAATACTCGTAATTAGCCGGGCCAAGCTTAAATGCCAAAACATAAGCAGGCGAGATGAAAGCCAAATCCGCCAAACTCCACAGATTAGTCATCTCAGCCAAAAACACTTTTGGCCAACAAAAACGAAAACAATAGCTACTAGTACAATAACCACTTTTGACGACACTTTGACACCACAGTCAACGCTCCATTATGTGAACGTGCAATGCATCCAATGCGGAATAAAAAAAACTTGTCCGTTCGACTGTATGAACCCTCAGAACTTCTGAACCACAACAGCTAGAAATAAAACGAACTGGCATGTAGACTCAACTAAGTGTTGTGCAGGTGTAGTTTTGAATGAATTTGTGCAGTTTCATTATTTAAATCAAATAATTAATCGTCAAGCTTATCTAAGAAATTTAATGATTGTCCACGATGGACAGTTTTAAATAAAAACACTCTGCTAATACAAAAAAAAAAATAAAATAAAATAAAATTAAAGAAGTAGAAATCGTACTTTACAGAAATATTTTTATTTTCTTGCATTCTGATATTGTGAAATACGTTCAACAGCAAACATATCTCAGCATTTTAAGAATTCATTAAAAATAGTTCCAAAATAAAGGACAGCAAATATTAGACGCCTTGCATTATAGTTTAACAAAGTTAAGTGTGAATTATTTCCTGGTAGTTCGACAGTATCTAAAGTGTTTTCAAAAAATTTTGGAATTGAATAAATAGTATTTTAAAGCTATTTGCAAAAGGGAAGGAAGAAATTGCACAGATAACGAATTTGTGACCAGTGACCAAGTTATCATTTTTGGAACTGAAGAATTGTTGTACTACTCACTAAAATGTTAATTTTTATTCATGGAGTTGAAGTGAATTATTACTTCCAATATTTGTAGTATCTCTGAAAGCATTTAGAAATTCACATGCTTAATATTGTTTGGAATTTTCGGAGCTTTAAGTCGACTAATTCCTTGTTGAATTTGTAAGTACTTAGCCGTCTGGCATTTTAAATAATAGCAATAATCCGCTGGCAGCTCCAAGATTACATCGAAATCAGTATAAACGAATAGCTTTGTAAGGAAATTTGGTGAACTTGGCAATAACTCTTAAATCAGTTATTATTATTTCTCTTATACATATGTTGTGTGGTAAATTAATTATTTACTAGCATTTATTAGTATATAGTTAGGGCACAATTTAGCTATGGTTTTATTTTTATTTTTTTTAAGACAAATGCAAGTTATTTAGTGGAAGTTATTTAGTGGAAGTTATTTAGTGGAATTTCAACTTGTATTATTAATTGTATCTTCCCTTTTTGACACTCACAATAAGCTTTTACATATTTTCTTAAATGCTTGTGAACAAACCCCCTTGTAGATCATTGGGTCGAGTATTTATAGATGGCTTTGGATAGTTTGACGGAATATTTGGAGGTCATTGTGCTTACATTCGTTACGAATATAATATATAAGTATATCAAGAAATTTTTGTAATAATTTTATAGATTCCCCCAATTAGTCTCTAGTGGCTTGAACCAAGCTAGGATACCTGCTCATAATTGCAGTATTATCCGCAATCGAGGATGCCTGCGTTAATCAAATATTTTTACAAAATATCCGTATCTAATACAGCTCATGTTTAAAGATATAGTAACAGCAAGCTTTAGAAATATTTGCTCTATAAACTGGCTTTAAAAAGTTAAGTTTAAATTAATTTAAAAGTCACCCTAGCCGGCACTCACTGTTTGTTTTTTTTTTTCTTCTTCTCTCTGTTGCGTTTTATGGCCATGTTTTATAAAATGATTAAATTTGACAGGTTGACAATTTTTTGTTGTTGTTGTTTTTGTGTATGTCGGTTGCATGCTTTTAATGCCTCTACTCGTAATGTTTTCGTATTTTAAAAGCCAAACATGTGTTAATAATATGTGTACGAACACATCCAAATGAATTGGCAACTCAACAGGCATTTTACAAGATGCCCCAGAACCGAATTATCGGCATTGACCCGCCACGTCTGTGTGTGTGTCTGTCTGTCTATGTGTGTCTAAATACTTATGACATACATAAGTGTGTTTGTCTGTCAATTGAAGATTGTGTGTTCGTTTTAATTTTTGGCATAATATGTAAGTAGAGCAATAACATTAGCATTAACATTAACCACAAAGACATGACAAAACATACACACACACACACACACACACACACACACACACACACACTGTTGAGCTGGCCAACAACGGAGCGTGACTTAATGGCCCATTTGAATGTGTTGACGGCTCACCATTTGGCCTATTCGAGTAAATTTTCTTTAGAAAATTATTCATGCAAGCTGCTCATTCAAAATGATAAAGTGTGAAAGATATTATGTTTTATAACGAACATTAGAAGCCATTGTATGTCGACTATTCACAAGTCGAGTCGCCAAACACTTTGCTGCAATAAACTTTAAATATACGAGTATACGAGTATGTATTTGAATTCTGATTGTTAACAATAATGCCAGCCGGTTTGAAGTTCGTTTTATTATACTTGTGTGTGTGTATGCCTGTAAAATTCACTTTTAATTCAGATTTGGGCTTTTAGTGATTTGAGTTTTAGAAAATGTCTAAAAACTTGAATGTCCAGCGCTCTAATAAATCTTTTATGTCTTGAATATTGTATTGAAGAGTTCAGGAAATGGCTTCATAAATTGTTGACATTTCATTTGGAGTTGCATTCAATGAATAGTTGAGTTTTGTAAACACTTATACAGTGTGTTTCATATTTATACGACCCTCTATTGTTATTTTAATTTTATGAAAACCATTGCATACATAGCTTGTTTTTCTGTGTTTTTTTTGTCATTTCATAATTAAAAGACATTAGTCGGAATACTGATTTCACTGCTCTACTTGAAAGTAATATTGTTTCAATTATTAATTGCAATTAATAATATAATTATGGTGCGGAACTAGAAACAAGAAACTATCCACTAACCCACTAGGATTAAGCAAAAAAATTATGTATAAACTAAAAGCTTTAAAATCGATGTGGGACCTTAAAGTATGTTGAGCCGCTAGTTGTTTCAAAATTAATAAAAAGACTCTTTTTTTTTATCACGACAAACCATAACCAACAATTGGGACATTATTAGTTCTCCGACCATTTGTTAAGAAATTAATTAATAAATAAATCCATTAATAAGTAGCTGTATCAGACTCAACCGATATGGCTAAAGAAAATAATGATTAAATGGTAAAAAATTTAAAATAAAATTGCCCTTGCGTTACACATGATTTATGTATTACTCTCATAAAATTCAATTTATTGATCGAAAGTTATGGCACAACAATAGCAATAGTTGAGTAATATTATAAGGGCTTGCATACGCCGCAAAATTAGTCCAATCTAGCCGAATTTTACATCACACTTCACTCTACATTTTCTATATAGAAATTTGCTGAAAATTCATAATTCGGCTTTCAGATATCCCGACATATTTTCATATTTATTTCTAATTTAATGATTGTCCACGATGGTCAGTTTTAAATAAAAAACACTCTGCTAATAAAAAAAAATATATATATATATTTCTAAGAGAAAAATCATTTAAAATAAGAATGTAAACTTTAAATAAAAATCGGAATATGTCTGTATACACGTACATTTTTAAAGTTCAACCCGAAGTAAAAGGAAAGTAAAGGCATTTTAACTTTTGTCTAAGTTTTTGGTAAATAAAAACGAGTTGTCTGTTTTCTCGACTTAAAAACAATTAAAGTATTCAGTATTAAATGAGAAATGCAGGCTTATTTTATTGAGGTATCTACGCTATTCGGATTCCTTTGCAAACCCCAGAAGACAAACTAAGAGCGTTATATTTGGAGTTTTTTGCCTCAAAAAGAAATTCGCATTCAAAAAAATTAATAAAAAAAAATAATAAAAATTAAAATAACGTAGAAATCATATGTCAGCTGCATTTAAAGGGGAAAATGAGTATTTAGGATTTCCCCTTTTATTTTTTACTTGAGCTTAACTTATGCTTCAAATAATGTGCACATCTGAAGACATTTTGGCATTATTATTGTTAATCAATGCTAAGTCTTAAAATATACAATTATTTTCTTTTAGTTAAAAAATTCTCCTTTCTTTGCGCTAAAATAAACAATAAACAAATTTTTAAGGCGTCCTGATAAAATCTTACTTAAGCCCCACGAAGGTCGCTCAATTCGATAATAAACTTAATTGCACATAAAACTGCAGATGGTGATGGAGAAAATATTTCGCTAATCAGCTCCAAAAATATCGAAAATCCAATTAAAACTTTTCCGAGGCGGCACACGCTAAGAAAAAAGAATTCATTCTCCATTACCAACCAATCGCCGCCTAAAGTACATTTCTCTGTGTCTATTATCGCCGGCAAGCTGCCAAATATAATTGCAATCAGCACGCACTGATATATGTGTGCGAGTATTAATTACAAACGATTTTCTTTGGTCGCAGCAACAAAAACAACAACGAAGCGAGGTGAGGCGAGGTGAGGTGAGGCGCGGCGAGGCGGCAAAGGAATAAACATTTCATAATTAAGCAAAAGCAGCCGGAAGGAAAATATAATTACTGTGCGAGCACGCGCAAATTAAATTTTCTAATGTGCCACAAAGATATCTAAAGTGTTGCACACACACACACACACATCTACATACTTGTATAGTATACATATGTGGTCCTATTTGAATATCAAGTATACGCAGTGTGGAGCCAATTTAAATGGCAACAGTTGCAAACCACTGAGCCAAAAGTTTCAATTAGCTGCCAAGCTCAATGTAAATTAGTTACAATGTTGACTACAAATGCGTTGCACAGTCAATTGAACCCACAT